GCACCTATATGACCCCATTCTCTAGGAATGGAAACTGAGGCACAAGGAGTGGCGGCTTCTAGCCGGGCCCCCGCCACAAAACCGGCGATGGCTGCCCCCAAACGCCCAAATGTGAAGTATTTGAGCTGAAAAGTCTCAAACCAAGCGGCTGTATTTTATTTTGAGCTGCATTTAAAAACATTAAATGGCGACAGTTAAACATTGAGAGAGTCCGTATAAAAACCCACACGGCCGCCCTACCCGGTTTGGCTCGGTGGATAGAGCGTCGATCTGCGGACTGAAGGGTCCCAGGTTCGATTCCTGGTTAGGGCAGGTGCCCGGGTTGCGGGCTCCATCCCCAGTAGGGGAGTGCAGGAGGCAGCCAATCAATGATTCCTTCTCATCATTGATGTTTCTATCTCTCTCTCCCTCTTCCTTCCTCTCTGAAATCAATAAAAATATATTTTTTAAAAAAACCCACACGGCCAATTTCTTGAAAACTGGCGCATTGGGGCCGGCAGCCCCCACGCCACATTCCTGCCTGGCCCCGCCCCCAAATGGTCCCTGTATGGCCCCCAAAGCTACACACTGAGTCATCATCCCTGCACTCTCACAACTGTGAGCCAGGAGCCACTGTTTCGTAGAACAGAGATTTATTGAGCCCCTACGGGAGCAGGCTCTGGGCTGGACACCAGGTTGGGTGTGTCCTGTGGAGCCAACATCCTACTGGGTGGCCCTGGATTCAAATACTCCCCCCCCCCCCAACCAGAGAACACTTAGGCCAGCGCCTTGCCTTCCCAGAGCCTCAGTTCCCTCCACTGTGAAATGGGACTAAAGCAAAAAAACCCAAAACTAGTCAAAGACCAGGCATGGGATGCCAGGAGGTATACAGTTGGCCTGGGGTTTACAGCGGAAATGGATGTACTGTACTGTAGGGTAGGGGTGTACCACCAATGTGGGGACAGGGATACTGCATGGGGGGCAGTCAGAGTGGCATTTACAGCCAGTGTGGACTCACACAGCTGACGTGGAGGTAAACAGTTGCTACGGGGTGTTTAATCAGTGTGGGGTATACAGTAAGGGTGGGGTATACAGCTAGTGGGAGGCATACAATCGGCAGAGGGTGCAGGCAGCTGGCTGTCCTCCCCACACCAACCGTCCACCCCCATGTAAACCGTATACCCCCTCAGTTTCGCTGCATCTCCCACCAGTCACGGGGCCAGTTGTATACTGTACAGTATAGTTACTATATACAGCTGGCATGGGGGTATTGTCAGTGTGGGGCATACAGTTAACATGGGGTTATCCAGTGAGGTCGCATACAGTTGGTGCTCAATAATTACAGCTGCTGCTTCAGAGTCCCACCCCACGCCTGCCCCACTCTGATCGCTAACCCAGGCATTCCTAGAGAAAGGCCACCCTCCTCCCAGGGGGCCCACAGCTGTGAGGCCCCTACCTGACCCCGGGCCCGCAGACCTCAGCAACAGGCGAGGCTCAAGGGCTTTCAAGCCGTGCCCTCGAAGGACCAGGTCTCCTAAACGAGATCCCGTGGCTCCCGAGATCCTTTGCCAGCTAGTCCCACCCAAGGCGTCCGGAGTGGTGGCCAGGCCGCAGCTTCTTCTCTTCCCGGATACACCAGGTCTCTGG